CTTAAGGGACAACTTGAATGCTTTTTTTCTTTTTTTTCTCTTAATGCATTGCATAAAGATCGGATCGGGAAAAATCGGTATCGGCAAATTGTCAAAATCAAATGATCGGAATCGGATCGGGAGCAAAAAAAGGTGATCGGGACATCCCTACTTAGTGACATCCCAGGTATATATTTCCAGCTTTCAAAATGTTTCGTTGAGCATGTTTGTGTTACCCATAGTACAAATAATATCACTTTCAAAATCTGTTATGACGTTTTTTGGGCGATTTTGGGTCCAAAATGTTCCTATAGTAGTATGTCAAAATGCAAAAGATAACTATCAGCTTATATAGATGAGGTTGTCTTGAAAAAATAGATACCAAACATTGACATGCTAAACACTTCTTAATGGGGTTTATTAAGACAAATCAAAAGTATGGGAAAACGGCCAAATTAGCCCAGGACTGTAAAGGGTTAAATAAAGAATAACATCTCAAATTAAAGAAACTAGAATTGAAAACAGACGCGTTTTCCGACTCACCTTCCCAGCGGAGCGTCCTCGGGGTTTCCCCCCGGGACAGGGTAGGGGGCGCAGGACTCATCGGAGGGCGTGGTGGGGGAGGAGCTGGGCAGGTAGACGGCCGTCCAGAGCATCAGGTTACGCACGTGACACACCGGGTGCAGAACCTGAAACAACAACAACATTATTAACTTGGGAAATACAAATAATAATAGAAAAGTATGTTATGATGTTAAACCAACTTCATCCTGTCATTTGTAAGTTTGAGTTGAAAACGTGATGAATAAACGTCTTATTTCAGTCAAAGAGAAGCTCTTTTGTCTAGTTTTAGCTAATGAACATATCAACAGGTTTCTGACTCCCAAGAACTGCTGACTCAGTAAGTTAACAATAAAAAATAAAAACACAGCATCAGGTTACGGACGGGACACACCGGGTGCAGAACCTGAAACAACAACATTAACTATGGAAATACAAATAATAGTAGAACTTCAAAACATCAGCTGGTTTCTGACTCCCAAGAACTGTTGTTGTTATTGTGTACTCAAGTCAGTAAGTTAACAATAACAACAATACAGACTATCATTTTTAAGCGCGTATTTTTAGTTTTCTTTTTGTGTCAACAATATTGCATGTTGCACGAAGTCTAAGTCGTGGAAAAATGTTTGTTAATGACCATTCTTTTGTCATATTTGTGTAAAAACCCTGCCTCACAGACCTAGAACAAACACAAACAAATCCAGTAACCACATAAAAGCAAAAGTTTCAGACAATAAAAGGACTTTAGGAACTGCGTGACTCAACTTTCCCAAAAAGCAATTGAAGAATTTTTATGGAAGTCTATGTTACCCTATTTATTTAACATCTTTAACGTATTCTATCCTGTCTCTGGAGTTTTAACCAGCTTTAAAGCAGAACTGTTTCTCAGTGACGGAGGACAGTAATGGAGGACGTACGATCTCAGAGTGTGAGGAGTACAGCATGTTCCTCAGCGTCCGATTGGCCGGCCTCAGCAGCGACCACACGCTGCAGGTCCGCTCCTGAACGTGCCGGTCCTCACGCTCCTTCCCACTGTTACACAGGAAGGTGCCGAACAGAGCGGAGTAGGTGTGCTGCACCAGCTTCACCTACACACACACACACACACACACACACACACACACACACACACACACACACACACACACACACACACACACACACACACACGTTTGATAATAACAGCAGGAGTAACTGCACATTAGTGGCTCACAATCGGAAACTGACGTTGAGCGGAAGATGATGGGCAATAAAATATCTCAGTAATGTTTAACCACCTCCGAGGAAACAGAGTAATTGAAAACCACTCAGAACAAATGAGAGTTCCTGAAAACCATCTTCACTGACTTCATGAAGTAGCAGCTGCTTGATGTAACAAACCATGAGGGGAAATACAACATACTAAAATAAATGTAAAAAAAAGTAATCAGATATAAAAACAACTACTA